GAATACATAATTTAGCTAAATGATATTAAAGATGTACTGTAATATCACAGAATTTTCCAGCGAGGTAGACTGGATTTAACCAAGGCCTGATAAAGCTTACTAAATGTTGAGCTATAGTCTTATCAAAATCCAGTTATACACTGGAAAAAAACTATATGAGAATACTACATATATAGGTAGCAGGCCTCGAGACTTTGGAAGAAGCCCTTAAATATCACGGTCCTTAAATAATTTCTGGAAGTCTCTCATTTCAGTGGAAAAGGACATTCAGTATATGATGCAGGAACTCACTTTGGACATACAGCATGGAATTTATCCCTAATGATATTGTAAACTATAAATGTCATTTATCCAATATTTTTCCTCTCACTCACTAGAGTAGAAAATTTGAGATCCAAATAAGCCAAATACAGAGAGCTATTATTAACTGAACCTACAAATCTAAGACACAAAGAACTTGGGAAGAATTGTAATGTATAGCATTAGCTCTCCTAAATATTTTCAGGAAACCAAAAGCAAAGTAAAACAAGGAGTTCCATCAGCAGAGTTCTTAAGAAAATAATTTTCTTGCAGACTTTTTTTCATGATATTGACATGATATTGACATCTCAGCTTTTTCATCCATGAGTATTTGAATATACTCACTTCTCTAGATGGATTCTCAGTTTGATAGAGATTGTACAAACACTTCTTTTCCTTTGAGACCTCTACTTGTGCTAAATTGACCTTAAACTGCTAGTGCAATTAGCAGTACTGTTTAGGGGATAGGGAAGGGCGTATTCTCTAACAAGAAAATTTCCATCATTTTCAACATGACTTTTTTTTAAAAGGAGCCATTTCACTTATGAAAAACACCACAGCAGTTTTAGACAAATTGCTTACCCACACAAAGAAAAAGTAAAACTTGGAATAAAAGCAGAGAATAGGAAGCAAAAGACCAACAATTTGAACTTCTTACCACTGCCATTATTGCATAAAATACACAGGCGAACCTCTTAAGTCTGCTTCACTTTTGCTCTTTTTCAATACTTAAGGATTTCTAAAAGCTCCTGCTTAAGTAGCATTATTCCTCTGGAAAGAGACACTCATAGCTAGAAATCCTTAATGCACCTTCCAACTTAGGTCACAAGGTATATGATGCTGCAAAGGCAGTGTCCAGTTTCTGTACTCAGGTAATACAGTGTTGCATAAAGCAACTTCGGAATACTGCTGCAACTCAGACAGGTGTAAATTATTCTGGGACTGCTCCATCCTCCAAAGAAACCTGAACAATAAGTTAATGGCAAAAAAACCCCAAGTCATCACCCCAAACTCAAAAACTTTAATACACAGTAGCTGCAAAGTCCCTTTTAGGTAAAAGGGAGATTTGGGGGAGGATTATCCCAAACTGCCACTGAAACAGAGGGCACTCGGAAGCAAGTTTTAACAAACTGCAACCTACAGCCTCTCTGCATATCTTAGGGATGCAAAGCTAAGTCAAAAGTGCTAATTTTAGGGCCCCAACTCCTTTAACCGCTTAACTCATCTGCATGACCAAGCTCCCAACTCCTCACTCCACCTGCAAGCAGCTCCGCACCGCTCCCCTGCCTTTCCTCCCCGCGCAATACACCCACAACAGCTTTCTGTGGTGCACTAATCCCGAACTGCTGTTTCGGCGGCAGGTTCAGCCGAAAACCCTACTTCTAAAGCCTTCCTCGCAGCCCGCTGCCAGGGCGCACTCAAAACACTGCCTAGAGACATGGATATCCGCGCGAAGATGAGAAGGTGCGTGTGTCATCTGGCCACTTCCTCCGCGTTGGCCGGTGAGTCTCCCGGCTCCCTCAGCCCCGCGCACCTCCTGGAGCGGGAGAACCGGGCACGCGGGGATCTCTCGCGCACGCGGCTCCCGCACCTCGGGCGAAAGAAGCGCGCAGCGAGCGGCGCGCCCACGGGCGGCGGGGCCGCGGCCGCTCGCGGGAGCCGCCCCATTCCCTGCGGAGCCCCCGGCGCCGCGGGATGCTCCTGCCCGGCGCGCGCACGCGCCGCCCGCCCCCCGCCGCCAACGGCCGCCCAACGGCCGCGCGCCGGGCCAAACGGCCGAACTCACCACGACGTGCGCGCCGGGCAGCTTGAGGGGCTTGGGGCTGATGAGCGGCGACACCATGTAGAGCAGGAGGACGAAGGCCACGATGAAGGCGGCCGCCAGGAGCAGCATGGCCGGGCTCGCGGCAGCGCGGGCGGGAGGCAGGCAGGGAGAGAGGGAGGCGGCAGCGGCGGGGCCCGAGGGGCCGCGGCAGGAAGGGGCGGCGCCGGGGGCGGGGCCGCGACAGCGAGGGGAGGGGGCGCCGAGCGCGGCCGCCGGCCGCGGCAGGGGGGGAGCGTGCGCGCCCACCGCCCCGCGTGCTCATTGGCTGGCGCGGCGGACGCGGTGTCGGGATTGGCCAGCGGTGGAGGTGGGAGGGCGCCGCGGGATTGGCCGGCGGGGCGGGACGCGGCGCGCGGATTGGTGCCGCAGGCTGTTTGAGGGGCGGGGTAGGGGGGAGGGAGCCCCCCCACACGCCCCGCCCCACCCCACCGCCCCTCGCGGACAGCGAGCGCCCCCTGAGGGGGGGGGCGGGAGTCCTGCGCCTGCGCCCCGAACGGGCGGGGCGGGCGGGGCCGTCACGTGACGGAGGGCGGTGGCTTCCCGCCGAAAGCGGGGGGCGGGGCGGGGCCCTGAGGGGCGGCGCGGGGAGGGGCCGTTTGCGGCCAACGTCAGTTTGGGATTTAAGAGAACCGCGACGTGTTGGCGACTCTGCGTGACACCACTTGGGCCTTTATTTGTGCTTATCTTTTGTAAGCACGCAAGGAAGCCGAGCGCCAACGGTTATAACGTTGATCTTGCCGCCGTTCAACGGCCGGTGGGGCAGGCTCGTGGGGCCATTTGGCGGCAGTATCTGGTCACAGGGTGACTGGGGCGACAGGGAGCTTCAAAGCGCCCGTCAGATCCTGCACCGTGGCCTCCCGCTTGGAAGCGCAGCAAGCACCGGTTTCCAGAGCCGTTGAGCTCCAACGGCCGCTGCGGCCAACGCCGCTCCGCTGGTCCAAAACCAGCTCTCTGCAGCGTTTGGGTGAACCTACGGGTTTTGCTTGCTGTTTGTATGAATAAATACATGCATTAACGTGGTTTTTTTTTCAGCTTTAGGTCATAACAGCAGAACAAGGATTAAAATGGAGAACCCTTCTAGGGCTGTCCAAATAACATGATCCCATATATTTGTTTGCCTACGTTTCTGACTCTTTTGGCCTTAGGGTGTGATTCCCTAGTTGTAGCTAAAGAAGAACCCCCCTCCAATTAGTTTTGCAATTAGTTCTTATGCAGTGTCTTTGCGCAGTGCGCAGAGCAAACTTGCAGCCCCAGAGAGGTTGCAATCAGACCAAAAAAACCCTCACATAGATTAAATATATACCAGTAAGCAAGAGCCTGTGTGGAAGGGTGTGAAATAATGTTGGAGAGGAAATTAGAAGCTGTGAGTAGGTGGAAATGGGAACAGAGGTGTAGGCAGGGATTAAGACATTTCCAAGGGAGCCTGAATTTGCCGCAGTTAAAGAAAGGAGGAGACTTGGAATCGACTCCGAGATGAGAGTGACCTGGAATGTCTTTGGTGTCGCTTTGGCTGCCATGCTGCAGAGGTGGAGGTATGAGCAGATGCAAGGAGCCACCTCAGAAAGACAATATTTTAGTTCCATTGTTAGCAGAAGTCAAAATAAGATGTGGGCTTGGAAAAGCAGTGATGAAATATGAATATGAAATATGTTTTGTTCCTTCCTCATATATAGGGCAGTCGATGTGTGTTATCTTGCCAACAACAGTGTTCGATTAAGATTGAGCAGGAGATTGTGCAGATAACAAGATAAGACTATTTATAGACTTCCACCACAGAGGACGGTGAGACTCTTTGGAGATTCATGTCAGCAGTATGGAGATAAAGCACAAATCCATCATTCACAATATAATGTTGTTTTCAGCATCAAGGTGAGGTGAGGACATGGGTGAAAGAAATCATCTGCATTAAATTTCTAGTGAAATTTAGTGAAACGAAGGCTAGACGTAATGGGAGGGGGCCTTTAAAAGTCTCGAACGCGTGACATGAACATGAGCAGTCACAGTTATGCTCTTACACTGCTAACCACATCTTGGAAGCCTTTCTAGACCAATGCGGTCTCTCTCCCAGTAGATTTAGTGTAGAAACCTCTGTTGGTTTCTCCTTTAGCCTGAGAGGATGGCTTGGACAGTGTCAACTTGCACTGGGTTTTTCTGTGTTTCTTTTTTCCCCATCTGGATTTTTTGAATATCGTGTATTTTGGTTTGAAAAGTATCTTCAAAGGCCAAGACCTTCCGAAGTGCCTGAAATAAACCACCAAGTGGTCTCCCCACCAATAGCTATGTTCCTCCCAGTTTTTACATTAAGCCAGGGGGAGCTGGCGCTTGCCCTTCCTGAGGTATCTGCTTTGGATCCATCTCACGATGGGTCTCACTCATTCACCGAGGTCAGTCTTCCTGGCACAGGGTCACTCTTCCTGACCTGAGGAAATTGTTTACTAGAGAAGAATTTTCTCCATGGCTGTGTAACTGGAACTCGAGCGCTAACATAAACATCATTGAAATATTCTGAAATCTAACATAAACATCATTCTGAAATATTCTGAAATCATTGATCTCCATTCCAGGCTGCACTTGCGCATAAAGCAATATTTCATTAACAGGGCCCATGTAAGTAGCATCACAAAGGGTGTAATTTTGAAAAGAAAACTGACAGATGCCTGCATATTCCCTGGCGGTGAGGAGGAAAAAAGTGGATACAGCCTACTAATTGCTTTGCTAATTAATCTTTAGAAGAATCTTCCATACAACAGTGATGTGTTTACAGGAAGAAAATGAATGCAATGCAAGTAGACAAAGGCAGCCAAACTACAGGACCTCTCGCAGCTGTGGTTTTCTACTTCCCCTGTCTTGTTAATTTAAATCTTTCAACAGACCTTTTTTCAGTAATAACCTTGTGGGTATTTGATATGAGCAAAAGATGTGGCAACAAAAGCTTAAAAATAGTGATTTAAACATAGAAACAAAGTTGCTAATTTGCTAACTACAACCCAAATGGCTGACCTCGGAAGTGCCCTTTAGATCTTCTCAGAAGATGAAGGCGCTCAAAATAGATCAGATTCACGTGCAAGAAATACAGTCTGCGTTAGATGCCATCAGGAGAAGGGAAAGGTTTTATGCAACGTGGCAGCCCCTGCAGACCCTCGTGCCGTGCCTCCCTGTTCCCCCACTCGCTCTGCTGGTGCCTCCTGAGCGGAGCTGGGGTGTGCACTAGAGGCCATAGGATACATACATTGTGATATTTTTTTTTTAGCACCTACAGGTATGACATACAACAGACCTAGTAAGACGAGATCAGAGCCATGTTAGAAACTCTGGGATTCCTGCAAAGCCCCAGGCTTCAGAAGAAACGCAGCATGGGTGAGAAGCTCCTCTCAGCTGACTTTCTTGATCCCTTATCTGCTGGGAGAAGGAAAACCGATGGTAAGAACACACCAACTGCTGCCTGGGGTCAGCAAAGGAGCCATCTAACACACAGTTTGTCCCTAAGCGTTGTCAGTGGAGGATGCTCAGGAACGAAGGCCTATATACAGTGGTGGCTAAGGGAGAGTGACTGAAATGTACTTGGCACCCTGTTACCTGTCTTGCTTTGCTTTCCCGAACGGAAAGACTCCGTGCAGCTGGAAATACCTTCTGTGCTGGTCACCGTGTTAGGCAGAAACCGTAAGCCAGCGGACCTGTCCCTACATGGCAGCGTGCAATGGCTCCCAGGGTGCTACCAAGGCCAAAACACTTCTGAGGCCAAAGCATCTTGTCTCTGTCCACGCTCGGTCTGCTGGAGAGCTGCTGGGGGTGATGGTGCAGGTGGGAGGCATCCAGCGCTCCTGTCCTCAGAGCAAGGGGCAGGAAGCGCTTCCTTGCCGCAGGGACGATCCCGGCGTTCCCTCGGGCTCTGCCAGGCCCCTGGGATGCCCTCGGGCAGCGCTGATGCCCCAGAGTCCCTCCCGGGGGCTGGCGGCACAAGGGCAGGTGGTGGCTGCAGGCGGCCTGGGCTGGGGTCAAACTGAAGCTGCCTCTTTGGTGCAGCGGAGGCCGCGAGGGGGTCCGGGGGCAAAGGAAGTAGTTGGTGGGTACATAGAGGCCAGGCACATAGGGCCTGGGGGCTTGGTGGGTTGGTGGTACATAGGGCCTGGGGGCTTCTGCAAAGGTCTTGGGATGGGCAAGTGGAAAGCAAGCAGTCTACTGGAAGCAATGTAACTGATCAGGTTTTCACTTGGCCCTTCCCTCACGCTGTTCTTCAAGCTTACTTAACCCTAATAGACTTGCTAAAATTGTTAGGAAAACAAATTTAATGCAGCACCTAAAATACTAACCTAAGTGGTAGGTTACACGAGTTAGTTCATTTATTTTAATTTTATAGCACAAAGAAAAGTGTGTTGATATTCCTCATAAAGACACGCATTCAGTTTGGGTAAACTCGGAACTGGATCATAAGAGGAAGGGGATGAGAACAACAGCCCTGAGAAACGTCACTAATCCTTTCTTTAGCCATATTGCAAGGTGTGTGAGTATCTCAATGCCTTCTCCCTCCTCCCCACAAATAGGAAGGTGCAGGATTACCACAATTTCACCTGCCACTGCTCCCCACCTACCTATAAAATTCACTGCTCTGGCTTGTGATTACATGGCTCTAAACTCTTGTTGCAATACTGTGACGAGAGAGCCTTAATACAGAATTTCATCTATGGAGAACTCACATCTTTAGAGTCACTATATGCTTTTAGATTTTCAAACAGCAATTCTAGCTCTGCAGCCAGCCAAGGGAATCTTTCCTATTTGATTTCAGCTAAGACATTCAGGGATTCCTGCTGAAGTTCTCATATGGCTTCAGAAACGAATGATACTTGCTCATATGGCTTCAGAAACGAATGATACTTGCCTGAATTTGCCTTTGCTAAGAGATGGTGTTTCACCTATTTCTGTCATTATTAATTTGCTGGATATATGCACATGAATACTCTTGCTTTTTCGCCAGACAGGGAACACTCGTGTAATTTTACTTCCAGCAACTTCTGGCCCATTTCTTTCACTTTACCTGACTTCTACTCAGCAATTTGGTTGTGAAGCTGCTTCCACCCAAACTGACACTACTGTTTCTCCACAGTGGGCAGAATTTTGTGCTTTTCATCATGGCTTTGAAAACATGTGCCTCAAGGTAATCTTCTCGAAAGACTGACAGGTCCTGAAGTTTGAGTTGCTTCAGGATTAAGCTATCAGTTTCTCTACCCTAACTCACTCTGGTTCCATCACGTGCATATTCATAAGGCTTAATCTTATTACAAAAGATCGAGTTAATGATTTGTAGTCTCAGACAGCACTCTCGTTTCTCACACACTTTTCCAGGTAATGATCTTAAACAGTTCCTGTGCTTTTAGAACTATCGTATAGCTCCTGACGTTTTTCCTTGCATTGGCCTGTCCCACATCTCTGCATGGGAAATCTTCATACCCTCCCTTAAAAAACACTGAAATGACCTCCTTTGGGTTCATGCTGGGTTCTCCTTCAAAGCATTTCAGAGAACTTTGTTTGCTCAATCATTTAACATGAATTAAGTCTATTTCCAGTTCCAGGTAATACATGCCATATAGAGAGCGCTGGCAAGCGGCTGGTGTTTGTTTCTTGGATACAGTTACGCAACCTGTGCCTTCCTCATCAGCCCTGGCACGTTACATTTGGCATGCACTGCAGAGAAGCTGCTGTTATGCAATGGGAATTTGGAAGATCCCTTGTGCTCGGTTCTCCTCCTGCAATTCAAGAAATGAATCCAAAATGAAAGCAAAGAACCCTCCACTTCCTGCCGTTTTCCCTCACTGAGCTGTATATGAGTGCACAGGAGTTACTTGCATTTCTCTGTCTCCCTCCTCCAACGGCAGCGATTACTGCAGCCCTGATGTAAGTCTATGAAAAGAGAGCATGCACAGATGTGCCTTGCAGCTGTGAAAGGAGAGAAAGGAACCAGAGAGACTCTGCCAGCTTTTGCTCATCTGCATACAAGCTTCCTTTGACAGAAAAGTTGGGGAAATACGGAAACAAAGGAACCCCCCCTTGCTGCTTTCAAATAAGATTTATAAGGGAATCAGCTCCTTGTCTTCACTTTGAACAAAAAATTGCACAAAAGACAAAGCATAAGTCAGAAAAGAAAAGAAATTGAAAGAGGAGAAAATTACTGGGTTGGGTATGAATGCACAGACACACATACACAAAGAGATGGGAAAAAGAGAAAGAATAATCAAAGTCAGTAGGAAAGAGGCAGACATAGATTGCCCATTAACTATCATATTAAGGGAAAATCTGATCCAAACTCTTCTTTTTTTTTCTCACTATACCTTCCCCTCTCTGTTAGGCACCACCCATTTCCAACATCTACCTTCTGATGGAGTGAGCCTGCCTTAAAATAGGGTGGAAGAGGTGTGTGGGGTCTGCAAAACCTGGCAAACCCCTTACCCTCAGCTGACAAGTCCAACACCAAAGCAAAGCCAAGGGCACACACCTGCCTCCTTATCCACAGCTCCGCTTCCCCCGCTGCTGAGGTGGGAGCGGGGAGGCAGAGGCGGGTGCCCCTGCATGGGGGCACCCTGAGTGTCCATCGGGAACCTGCCTGGCGGCACCCAAGCGGGCGCAAGCTCCGACAGGAGCGGGACTGACCCCATGCAGCCCGTGAGCCTTAGGCCTGGCTCGAGGCTACGGAGGCAGCCTAAGGACCAGCCTGCAGGAACTGCTCGGTCTGCGTCTGGTCAGTAGCTGCATAGTCATCACCATCGCTGAGCTGTTTGTAACCAGGATGTGAACACACGCATGTGCGTGTCCATCACCCCCCCAGGCACCTGTGTGTGGTCAACAACAGCAGCTGTTTATGCAGCTTCTCTCCTCTCTTCATGCTGGAAAGGTGCATTAGGCACAAGGCAGGAGGGAGGCCAGGGCCCGTGCTCGAGGCCCTGCCTGCGTCCCCGCGGCTCCCCTGCAGCCACGTGAGTCCCACTGCACTTGCCGGCAGCCTCGTACCTGTTTCCATACAGGCAGCAGGCAGGTGCCTCACCGGCAGGCGATGGCAAGGCAAATCACTTCCAAATTAGAGACAGAACGAGAATAAAATTGTCCGTGCCAACACAACTGCAGCTGTAAGGGGTGGGGAGGTGAATCACTGATTGATCTGGTGTGCATGCTTTTGATTCATTACAAATCACTCACATTTCATTGCTACCATTCTATGAGGTGAACCATCCACCTCACTTTTCTGGAGCCCAAGCAAGTCACAGCCCTAAATAACATTTTTCATTTGCCATTTGTATTTCCTGTGCGGGATGGTGATATTTATAGCAACTTTCTCAGTCCCTTGCTTAGCAGACTATTACTAGTGCTCTTGCAGCCACAGGGACAGAACAGTTGTAGAAAGCTACTGCTCCAGCTTAAGAGTTTTGTAACGAGCACCCGAGGAGAGTCACCTGCCTGCAACCGTATGAGTCAGAGGAAATTACTGTTTATAGTTTACAGAGGACATGTGGCAGTGAAGTGGTAAGGCCTCTGTCTTGAATAGCTTGCATGGAAGTTAGCTGAGGCAGCAGAGGAGGGAGGGCAAGTAAATGCAGGTCTCGCCAAGCCGCGGCACGGGGCCTGCTAACAGGTCACCATGCAGGAGAGAAGTCCCTGACTTGGTCATCAACACTGTGCCCCTGTTTGAGCGTCAGCAACTTGTTTCCTGGAGAGTTCTCAAAAACACCCAAAGCCTTTTGGGGCCCTTGGAAGAGAAGATCCTGCCATGACGTGGGAAGGAGAGCATGTTTTGTCTTCATGACTAATGGTTGAGGAGGCTGCAGGAATTAGCCTAAAAATGCCAAGTATTCCTGCAGAGAATGGAGCAGCCAGGTGGTACCGTCGGGGGAATCGCTGCCATCCTCAACACCGAGCCGACGGTGCTGGGATGCTCCTGGAGCACCCGCAGCCTCTCAGAGAGAGCAGAGGTGCAGAAACAGAGAGTAAAGCACGAAACAGCGTCCCAATAAAAAGCTGCTATCAGAAGGGTGTGTGTGTGTGTGCTGGTACAGGTGGGGAGGGAGAGCTGCAATTGGGACACGGGGACCAACAGACAAATAACAGGACAAAATTATCTCCCACTGAGGCTGCCAGTACCCAGATGCCAGGACAATGCACACACTGGAGCAATTACAGTTCTTGCACAGCTAATGGTGATGACAGCGAATGGTGGAATAAAAATCACTGAACCCAGTACTGTTAAATAGGACACAGGTAGGAGAAACTGGAAGAGAAATCCCAGAAGTTATGCCACAAAAGCTACAATATAGACTACATGATCAAATATAAAAACAACAGTGTTCTGGTAACAAAAATGAAGTATCTGTTGGAAAAAGAAACAGTCCAGCAGGAAACAGTCCATCAAGTTCTTACAATAGTTTGTGTAAGCTACAGGAATCGCTCCAAGTCCAAAGTGATTACCAGGATGAAGCTGGTTAGGACAAAACACACACACAAAGTCAGTCACAAAATGAGCTTGGCATTCTAGATGAAGGAAGGGGCAAGAAGCAGAATAAAAATGGTCTTGCACATTTCAAAAAGTTGATTATTAGCAGGTTTCCTCTCAAGATAATTCATAGAAATAAGACAAGGAATGGGAGAGAGGAGCAAAAACTATATTCCAATTAGGCGGAAGACACAGATCAAACAACAGCTGAACAGAGAACATTCCCTTTCTTTGCCTCAGGTGGCCAAGGGCTCTGTGGCCACCTAACAAACAGGAGCATGAACGAAAGCAGATTCAAAAATATGTGCATAAACTACATGCCTTACACTCCACTGCTTACAACTGAAGCAACCAAAGCAACTAAGACCAGTAGTGATATATTCTTTTATTTATTTAAAGGATACTGGTAATGTTCCAGTGTGCTAACGAAGGAATAAAATGATAGTTAAATAAAGGTTCTATTTCTAAAAACAGCTTTAGATATTGAACATTAATGCTTCTGTTACAAATGCCATCCCCAAACTCACCAAAATATAAATTTAAAATATACAATATACTTCTCCTCCACATTAAAGACTAATGGATTTACACAGCTAAGTTTATGGAAACCTCCGGGATAAATTAGCCTATAGACAAATAAAAACAAAACAATCCCCCTAAACACCCTAACAATGATCCTGATAAAGACACGTGTTTTAAAAGGCTGATCAGGTACTTTGGACTCCAGTTTCAGACTCAAGGGAGCGCCCAGTCAGTCAGTTCTAACTTCTAAAGGGTGAACATTCCACAAAGGCCGACTAAGCAGCAGCTCTGTTGCAGCCAAGATTATATTTACGGTGGTCTGCTCGATTTTGGAAAAAACAAATTGCCCCTCTTAAAGGTCCACACAAAAACCTGTGGTCTGCTAATTCAGATTTAGGCATGCTTCAGCAAAAGATAGAAGGTGAAGGTGTGTGGCACTGAATGATTTTGGAAAGGACATTTCACCGTGTTAGTAAGCAAAAGCTCAGCACCTTGCACATCAAAGAGACTTTTAAACTACATATTCTGTGTAGCTGTTACACAGAAATCCAGAGTCTAAAAATCAAGTTGTAAGTTCTTGAGAAGAATATTGAAGAAATACCCACAGAACGCTACAGAGGTTGTACTACAACATTTTACTTCATTTAAGTACAGCAAATTTCACCAGTCCTATGATTTATAAAGTACACTATGATTTATAAAGTACACAAAATCTGTACATGAAGGAAACCAAAACCCATCAAAAGATGATCATAAGTGTGTGTACGTATATGTACCATACACACAAAATGTGCAAAATTTTTAATGCAACTTAAAGCATATGCAGGACAGAGTTGTACAATGCTAAGAGAACAGAGTATTCTAGTATCCATATGATGTTTTTTAATCTATGGCCAGTGCAAACCTAAAAGGCACAAACTCAGTGCTGACACTGGAGTTCTGGAAGTTACATTCAGGCACATCTCAATCTATACTTGAAAGATGATCAGAAGTGCCAGCCCTTCTTCAAAACCTACGCACTAAACTGATGCGGTCGATACCCAATGGATGCGAGTAGGGTTCTGGAAGTCTGCTACTAGATCATGTGTTACCCTTTGCTCAGGTATCAAAGCATGCTATTTCCCCAAATGCCTTCCTTAGCCCAAAGATGATGTATACCTTGTGGGTCTTGACATGCAGAATCTTACAGGATGCTAATCATGCTTTTTATACTTTAAACTCCTGCAGAGAATATATCAGATTAAAAAAAAAAAAAAGAAAGAAAAAAGAAAAAGAAAGAAATACCATCCAAAATACTTGCATTTAACAAATCTTTGCTAAATTGCATAGTGACACATGTGTATCAGCTGGTACAGAGTTAAAAACAGAAACTTGCTGTTTAAGGCAAAATTTTAATACAGCATAGCAGAAAAAGCCAAGTGTCAGGTCCATCAGTATTTAAGTAAAGTACTGGCCCGTGTAGTCTTATCCTCACAGTGCAACCCACACTTGCAATATGCTTTATGTTTTAGCAAATTTGTTGCCTTTTTCTAAATGAAATTTAAAAAAATTAATAAGCAGGCTGATTGACTGATATTGCAAACATCTGATAAATAGGTACTCTCTTCCACCCTCCAAAAAAAGGGTTTTGAGGCTACTGGGAGTTCAAAACTTACTTGTAACCAGGTCTAATATAACATGTAAAATCGAACATTTAGTAAAATTGAACTAATCATTTAAAGTTTGCTAATATTTAATACAAGTTACCACCACACTTTGCTGTCTTACCCTAAAATTATACTTTTAGCATTATTTTTCAATAGGAGACATTTAATAGACATCTGAGGAAACAATACAATACAGAAGCTGAAGGGTCTTTGCAAAGAGATCTTCTGTTCTTTCTGCAAAGTAAGAAATAAGTGATTTTATTGGCTTTTTTTTTTTTTTTGAAGTGCCATCAATAAAGACACAAGGATACTTAATAAAGCAAGAAAAAATAAAAAAGAAGTTCTAATGTTCCACATAGATCTTTGGTTTAACCTTCCTGACCAAAATCTTCTGTAAACTTCTTTAACTTCTCCAGGTCTTGTTCATTAACTGTTGGTTTTGTGCTAGCGAGCGACCTGAGCATATCAGCCTGTTAGAGAGAAAAAGGAGAAAACAACTGTTTTCAGAAACAATACCAGTACCACATTTAACAGTCCTATTGCCCATATAAACTGTGGGCAAAAATGCTCACATTAAAAAGCCTCTTAAAGCAAGATAACCATTAGAATGAGTATTAACATGAAACTAAGCCAAAACAGTTCTGCACCCGGGCTGCATTTTAAACCTGTGAAGACAGATGGTAACAGTGGGTTTTCTAATAACGAAACCGCAAGTCTCAGGTTTAGGTTTCAGCCACTCTTTTATTCTAAGAATTTTACTCATCACTGCTTCCTGGAAAGAACCGAAATGCTTCCCCTGTCCTTCTTGTCAGTTATTGTTTCATCTCAACTTCAACTACGATACTTTAAGGGAAAAATCAGATATGCCCCTGTATTCAGTATAGTCCAACAATATAGACCAGTATTTTATAATTCATCTCTAGCAAAATTTTGCTATTCATGACCTTTAGCTTCTGCATCTTTATTTCAGCCCATTTCTACCGTAAATACTTTGGGTCCTAGAAAATGCACAAGTTCAGGAAAATTTCACGATTATGAGGTCAAAAAAAGCAGTTAAAAAAATGTTAATACAAAGAGATAAAAACAGTAATCAAGGTCTAGCCAAGGGTTAACTGAAAAAATAGATGTTTTACACCTCCTTATTATAAAACCGTGGACAAAGACAAAAAATAACATTAGGGATCTGTAAATCTGGAATTCTTATGCAAGATTGCAGGTTTTCTAGAAAAAAAATCCTGATCTGACAAGAATTGATTTTAGATATTGAAACAAAAGCCAAGAAGAGCCTTGGTATCATCAATCTTCCTCAAGACGGTTATGTTCTATTTAAAAAAATAAAATGATTAAAAATCCGCTTGGACCACAGAGGCAGAAATACTGGGGCAGGCCTGCACCTGCATGTGTCCCTTTGTGTTTTCTTAGTGTGCAAATAAAGGCAGCTAATTCCTTCCCTAAGCACAACAACTCTCTTAAAGCAGAGCCTAGTGTTTCAGAGGTTTGTGATCCTGATAAAATGCGCTGCTTCCATTCATTCCACACAAGAATTGGCAGCAGCAGTTCTTTGGTATCAGTTCCTTCCCACAAACAAGCAGTGTCAGAATCTTCTTTTGTGCTCTTGGGGGGAAAAAAAATATAGGACAAGTGTCCAAAGTGAGCTAAAATTTCAATTTGTCTTAAATGACACGGAGTGTATTTTATTCCACATATGGAAGTGCTCCTACACTCAAAGAAAACACGTCAGATATGAACGCTAGTTACAACACTTGCGATGAAATATGTTAGAAACTACCATTACAGCCACCTGCTTTTATAACAGTGGTTGTGCTTGCATTTACTTCAGAGGCAGTATTTGCCAATAACACGTCATTCCCAATTTCTACTAAACGTAGTTTTCCTTTTCCCCACCTCTGCTCAGACTATAGAGTGATGGGAAGATAGGACAGCATGGCACTGGGATTCTGCAGTGCTTAAGTGAGCAAGGCAATGAAAGTGGAGCCGAGGGGCCAGCTGCACCTATGCACCCATCCTCTGCACCATGAGAGGATGGCAGTTGCACATGAGCAGACTCTAACAACAGAAGAAATGCTTACGGGATATGAGATGGAGACCTGGCTTCTTTATAGGCATGCTATACTGCCCTGCCCTACGTCAGGATTCAGATGTTGATCTGGTATATGGTCAGTGTTTCTAAAGCCAACCAGCTCATAGAAACATCTGGTGTATTGTTTGAGGGGAAAAAGAAGCCACCTTCCATCTTTTTACAGCTCTGCAAAAGAGGAGGACAACCTCACAGGAGATACGTACCATGGAAACCTGGGGCTCCAGTAATTTATCACCCGGGACCTCCATCCATGTCATTTCTATGGCTTCGGGATCCCCTGGAGAGCAAGGGGTGAACAAGTCTACCATGATGTTTGGATTAGACACTGATGGTCCTTTTACCTAGGAGTAAGGAAAGAGGTTTAAAGGAGTTAAGATTTTCCAGACACAACAAGAAGCTGAATATCACCTTTAGAGCAAGAATATTTCTTCACTTTATACGGATGCCACACTCATTGAGAAATGCTGATTTCTCCTGTGAAAGAGAAATTGTAGGGCTGCACTGGCATCAGTCACCTGGCAAACACACAGCTGTGGTGTCACTGACACGTAACAACGATGCTAACATTTAGCAACGAGGTTAAATTAACATCATTAGAACCAATGAGCTGCTTCCTCTTAAGGTATGAGTTTCTGCAGAAAGCTAATGTGCTACAAAAGTCATGCTGGAGAATATCATCCTACCTAATCCCTGCTCATTTGGGAAGCGCCTTCCACACTGCCTTACAGCTTCCAAAATTTTCTCAATCGTTGCTCTACAGCACCCCTGGAGTCAGAAAGCCCGAGACGGCTCCTAAAACTTTTACTTAGTGCTCTGCCCCTTTCCCAGCACCTGCTCCGACCCGTCCGGGCACCATGGAGCAGAAAACGGGGCCATCTAGTGGTAGAAGAGAGACCATCCCCTCAGCCCGGGCCCCCACGGACAGGCCCAAGGGAGAGGGGCTCTTGGCACAAAGCACGGCTGGGCCCCACACGAAAACCCACATCTGGGAGCTCACGCGACAGGCAGCGGCCACCTGTAAGGGCAGGGAACTGGATTCGCTGCTCCAAGTGGATCTTGAAGCCCCGCGCTGCGGAGCACGGTTATAACATTCAAAACACACGTGGACAAACCTGCACCGTCGCCGTGTTTAACGCACAGAATGGCTGGCATTTGCTCCCAAGTGGGCAAAGCTCTGTGTAACGGGGGCAAGTTGTCTGTCATGACTCCAGTCATTAAGATTTTACATACAAAAAGAGGAAATTAAAGCACTAAAGCACAAGTGGAATATACTTGGCTTTTGGCTGCCCCCTCACAGAACTATTATTATTATATGTTGTTCCCTTTTGCCGAAAAAAAAAAAAAAAAAGTGTTGCCTTTGGGCTGCCATGCAAGCTGAGACAACTACATGCTTTTGGTGTTCTGGTCAGATCCAAGACATGCATTAAGTTCCTGCAAATTTGAACAAAAGGCCAAAATACAACAACACTTTGTGCAGAAGCGTTACTTAAAGTCAACAATGGGTAACTACTTCACACATTGCTGCATAAAGACAGCAGCATTTGGAAAATCCCAGCAATACTTATCCGAGTAAAACAAATACTTATTTAAGAAGTACAGTTTATACTACAATATTGCTGCGGATTGGCCCCACAAAGAGATGTGGCATATTTGCTTTTCCCTGTTTAAAAATATGGAGATATTTTGAAAGACTCCTCAAAAACTCTTTCACAGTATTTTTTCCATCATAATCACAGTCTGCAAATTTATTTTAACAAGTACAGAGTTGATAAAGCTTCCTCAGAGCAAACTCCGGAGGAATACATAGTCCTTCTACACTCATGACCACACTGGATTTAAGTGTTCCTTTACCTTCCACTGTTAAGCTGAAAGTGTTCCTTGAATGAAAACTACGTTAAAAAAGGCCTAGCTAACTGTGGCTGCTCAATTAATGCTCAAAAGATACTAAGTGTTCTATGGCAAGTTATTTTATGATTTAATTTCTAACTCAAAGAATCAAAACCAGCTGCCAACAGAAGTTACATGGGACTCATCACTGCTCAAGATCTGAAATTCTTTCTCCTCGAAGAAATCTTGAAACCCACTTTTAGAAGTCATACATCCAATGAAAGCTTCCCTGTATAGATGTGAAAAAAACTTCATGACCTATCGTCACCTGAAATACATGAATATTTATAAAGCCAATATTTCCAGTAATTATATATATAATTTTGGGTCGACTGTGGAAAAAAAGTGGTATCTTTTCTATACAGTATTTAACCGATACACATCTTGGATGCATTTTGAGCTCTGCTTACAACCACTGATAACATTAAGATGACACTTTTTTGCACATAAGAGCAAAATAGTTCTTACAGTCATCTTCTGCATAAAGACATCACAGCACCAGCACACATGTGAAAATTCTCTGGGGGAAAAAAAACATTCCAAGGATATAATGGATTTAAATTTGTTAGTCCTAAGGAACTCTAGTTGCTTTAACCATAAGAAGGTTTGTAGAGCCAAACATTTAGAAGAAAAATATCTTAAGTCAGTGCACTGCATACAGAAGGTAAGCCACACAATGGTTTCAATAGGGAGTTTAAAGTGCAGCTAGCTAAGGGCAAACTAGTCTTGACACTAGAGCCCCCCAGTAAGATGCTGCTGCCCAGTGACACACAGGCTTTGCCAGGTGTCTTGTGGCTTCACTATCAGCACAAGCAGCAGCAAGTGATTCACTGTTCTTATCAGAATGAGGAGAACTTTTACTTTTGCTACATATGCTGCACAGGCAGAATGTGTGTAAGCATAATCTGTCTGTTCCCAGGCAGATGAGGAAGCATTTAAATAACCTAAAAAAACTGAAGCACCTACATTGGTACAGAAGACAGCACAACTTTAACTTAACATTTTATGTCAGATTTTATAGGCTTTTAACACTGAAGACATGAAAAAAGTCTGAGCTCATATTACATAGCATGAATACCAAAGAACTAGCTTGTATCCAACTTAGGGCAGGACCTAATTAAGAGAAGGATAGCCAAATACTCCTTTGGTAGATAAGGAATATAGCATCAAAATCTTTAAAAACGCACAGTATTATCCCAAAACAAGTTTATTTGGGGAAAAAAAAAAAATCAATTTAAGTTTCTGAAATAGCTTAAAAAAAATTTAGTCCCTTACTTACTTTTTTAAAGTGAGTAGCTGATTGCACTTTTCTAACAGGCTGCATCAGTGCATCACGTACAATGATGCTAATATCGGCACCAGAGTAGCCATCAGTTCTCTTTCCGAGCTCTCGATAATCCGATTCTGTTAGGAGATTTGGAGTTGACCCAAGGTGAAGTTTAAACATCGCAGCCCTGGCATGGTCTTCGGGTAAAGGAATGTAAATACGCTTCTCAAACCTGTTTTTAAACGCACAAAAGCAAACAAAAAACACCACAGACACAAGTTTATTCAGGTGCACGAGAAAGTTTATGCATATCCCTATGTAGTTTGTTTTCAACAATATTAGAAAGAAGTAGTTTCATAATTATAAACCTTTAAAAATCTAAGGTAAACATTCAGCTACATGTTCCCATAAAACTGTAGCCAGCATAAGTTAACGTTCAGACTATAATAATTTCCTTTTCATGATGAGAGACTTCTCCCTTCAGACTACAGTTTTCCTAGATGTTCTCCAGAGTCTTTTGTTTTAATAGATAAGTTTGAGAAGAAAAATCCCTTTACTGCTTAACTATACTGAAACGGCTTTCACATTTGAGAGAACTGCCTGATAACCAGCTGAAAAACACTTCCTATGGTTTCCAACTAAATTGGAGAGAACCACTGGAGTCTGGAGCAAATCTTAAGCCATACTCTCAACAGAAGCATCTGCAGAAAACTTTGATATCTGTTCTCACAGTGAGGAGAATGTCCTGCCAAACACAAGTGACTCAAAATTCATAGAACACAATTAACTTGAAATAAAGCGTGCCAAAAATAGAAGCAAATTATTATCATTACTAAGTTACTAGAAATCACCCTTGGAATTTTATGAACAAGAGCCAGAGAACTATTTAAAATTAATACACAAATTCACCCCTAAATTTATCTAACATAGAACTATAAGGTTCTATGGTCTATACAGGTTGGAAGGGATCACAGCAGGTCATTTAATCTCACCTCTTGCTCAAAATACAGCTGCCTAAAATTGAATCTATAAGCAAAATATAGAATCATACACATACAAAAAAAAATGTTTGAGCGAATGTTATTCCTAAAAAATTATCACCACCTCTGGGTGATGAGGGCTTATCAGAATACTGATAGTATAGTTGTACCTGTGTAGCACCTTAAAGACAGGTTGAGCTCTAACAAAGGTAGAGAAGCTCTTTATAGGAAGGCAGTCTACACACATACAGATCACACTGACAGATCACATCTTGACTAACAGAAAAACAGAGTTCTGCATTGCTTAAAGGTGCAATTTTACCAAATACTTCAAGGTACTTAAGCTATTCAGCTTGCTGCTACTGAGGGCACCTCCGGGCCCCCTGCCTAGCTCTTTCCAGATGTATACTTTGTATCCCGCCACCCTGCTCCCATTAGAAAAAACAACAAGGAAGGGAACAACAGCTTTCTCCTTGCTCACGCAGGATTAGCTAACCAAGAAATCAAACTATCGGATCAAAATGAGGAGGAAAACCCCACCCTTTCAAGTGGCCGTAGGCTATTATATTGGCTCAGTTCACCTCATGGAACCGAGCCCTAGAACATCAGCTAGGTCTGCACGCACAAGTTCTGTTACTAATTCAGACAGTCTTGGACTGAACCCTTACCCCACAACTGTGTATTTCTTACCAAAAAACAAAGAAACAAACAAATACCTCCTCCTGATAGCAGAGTCCAAAACCCAGGGTATGTTTGTTGCTCCCAAGACCAAGATTCCTTCGTTGTCAACACCAACCCCTACACCCAGGCAGAAAATATTTCGTCACTTTGAAGATAAGCTGACAAGTGTTTTAAAACACATTCAAAATTTAAGGCAGTTAAATTGCATATCTCATGCAAGCTATGCTTAAAATAGCCACTATTCCCTCAACTGATCCTGGTAGCCGGGGAGCTTACCTTGCATCTGGACTAGAAACTCTGTTTTAATTCGTCTAGCAGCCTCGCTCTCATTTTCACTTCTTGACCCACAGAGGGAATCTATCTCATCAATGAAGATAATAGAAGGTTTGTTTTCTCTGGCAAGCTGGAACAAGTTTTTCACTAATCTTTAAAAAAAAAAAAATCTGCAGTTAACTTTAATGACAACAGAAGCAAAATTTACAATTATGATAGTCACTTCTCCTAGAGAAAACAATAAAAAGCAGAGTTACTCCAAGTGCTGTAAAAGCAGCATTTACTTTTCTACAATGTCAGCCTGAACTACGCAAAACTATCATTCTAAGCATCACCAAAAGGAACATTGCTTTCAAAGATTTTTAACAGCTTGAGATTTCCAGGAGAAATATGAAAGCTTACTTTTACATAACTTCACTATGTACTTTTTACATGACAGGAAAATACCTATAGTTGATTTGTCCAAAAAAGCCCATCTGAATCAACATATTTAATATAGCTTTAAAAGGAAAATAAATTGGAACATGTTGGGAAATTCTTCCCATCAGCAATGCTAATAAATAACATCAGGTAATACTTAAATTCAATAGCAATCTAAGTAACAAAAATGTCTCTTTGTACTGTAGTTCTGTATTGCCTTTGCAGCAAAAGAAGAGTAGCCCAAGGTTTCCAACTTTTTGCAAGAAAAGAATTTGGTTAAAATTCTTTGATCAAATACCCTGTTTTGCTCCTCCTAATAACATGAAATAAGGTTGCTCAACTATACACTTGGAACTACTAGAAAATGGTTTTAAGGAATATTTTAACTATCAGATGAACATCTTTGTGCAACAAGTTCAAGGGGCTTCTTAATTCATAAAGTCTTCATGGGAAGAGTAGACAGGCAGAGATCTGCTCTTACAGACTGCAACAGATTCGTTACTTCAGACTTTCTGGACTTGTTAATACTCTGTGAAGTACTTTGCATTTTCTTTCATGCCTATTTGACCCCTCCAACAAACTCTGCAGGTCTCTAAGCCTTCCATATCTTGTTTCAAAACAGGATACAGAATAAAACATCTCAAAGAGGGGACAGAACGGATGTCTCATTTTAACTGTGTAGAGCTATGGCAGAGCTAGGCTTAACATGGTGGTGGGTGGACTCCAAAAAGCATCATGGCAACACTTCCAAGTGGTGGGACATGGTGGGAATCACAGCCTGAAGAGCATCATGCTGCTTCTGACACATTTCTGAGCTAGCTGTGAAAGCCTTCTACAGCAGTGAAGAGCAATTCAGCTACAGCAGCATAAAGATAACCCTCATGTGCTGCATTTTGTATGACACTACAGTGCAAAGCCCCCCAAAAACTCAAGTGTGTTTTCACAGATAAGTGACCTTTTTGTCAAACTCTTGAGTGCCTCTTCTCTACCTCTTTAACACTAATTGCCTGCAAATGTTTTCTTGTACCTCTGGCAACTTCAACTTACCTTTCACTCTCTCCTAACCACTTTGAGACTAGATCAGAGGAAGATACTGAGAAGAATGTAGAATTATTTGCTTCTGTTGCCACAGCTTTTGCTAAATAGGACTTTCCTGTTCCTGGAGGTCCAAACAGAAGAATACCTCTCCAAGGTGTTCTCTTTCCTGGAAGAGAGAGAAAAGCAGCTATCAAAACACAGTAATAATATAGAGCCTGCTTTTTGATGACGCCTCTCTAATTCACAGAATCGTTGAGGTTGGAAGGAACCGCTGGAGATCATCTAGTCTAATGTTCCTGCTCAAGCCAGGACACCTACAGCAGGCGGCACAGGGCGGCATCCAGGATGGTTTTGTAGACCTCCAGAGAAGGAGACTCCACAACCTCCCTGGGCAGCCTGTGCCAGGGCTCTGTCACCCTCACAGGAAAGAAGTTCTTCCTCACCTGGAGATGGAACTGCCTGTGTTGCAACTTAGACCCATTACCCCTTGTTCTGTCACTGGCCACCACTGAGAAGAGCTTAGCCCCTTCCTCCCTACATTCTCTCTTCAGATACTTACACATGTTAATCAGATTCCCCTCTTAGCCTTCTCCAGAGAAAGCAGGTCCAACTCACTCAGTCTCTTCTTGTATGAGAGATGCCCCAATCACCTTGCTTGCCCTCTGCTGGACCCTCTCTAGAAGCTCCACATCCCTCTTGTCCTGCTGAGTGCAGAACTGCCCCCAATACTCCAGGTGCGGCCTCACCAGAGCTGAGTGGAAGGGCAGGGGCTCCCTTGACCTGGTGGCAACGCTCCTCCTGCTGCAGCCAGGATCCCATTGGCCTTCTTGGCCACGAGGGCACTGCTGCCTCATGGTTAACTTGGTGTCAGGCAGGACTCCCAGATCCGTCTCCGTGGAGCTGCTCTCCAGCAGGGCAATCCCTAATCTGTACTGATGCCTGTGGTTATTCCTGCCCAGGTGCAGGACCCTGCACTTGTCCTTGTTAAACCTCAAGAGGTTTAATTCATTTAGATATTTCCTATATCTACCTATGAAACTGCTGTCAGATAGATGATAATCACTTTATCAAGAGGTCAGTTCAAGGCCCCAATATGTCAGCATATGCAGACTCTTCTCAGATGCCAGTGCCAGTCTTAACTGCATCATTAATATTTAGGATTTGAAACATAAATAGTTTTCCTGACCTGTAAAGAGATGAGGAAATTTAATGGGCAGGATCACTGCTTCTTTAAGTGCTTCTTTGGCACCTTCAAGACCAGCAACGTCACTCCACTTTACATTTGGTCGCTCCATAACAATTGCACCTATAACAGAACATTGAATGGTGACATACACGTCCTTTCAGACTTGCATTCTGAAGAAAAAGCAACACTACCACACTATTTCCACACAAATTGAATAAAACAAGTAACTTCTCGGGAGATTTAAACACTGGTCAAATTGAAGTTATTTCTATGAAATGGGGCTCTTTATGTTTTATCACAATAAAACATGGACAACCACATTGCTTGTGAGTTAGCAGAAGTTTGGCTATGGTCAAACATAGCTCATAACTGGGCAGCAAGGATGAACTTGGTAGTCATGGATAAGTAGCTTCTCCAAAATGTATCCAAGCACCATTTGCTCCATGAATCCCATCATTATACTTTCCAAAAATATCAGAATTTCATTTTAAATGAGAAAAAAAGCCCTCTGTAGTAACAGTAGTTCTGGATTCAAAAAACTTCATCACTAATCCTTTTTCTTCTTCTAGAGGTAACTCTGAAGTAGATGAAGTAACTTATTGGATATTTCCAGATGTTTAGAAAGAAGAATATGAATACTCCCTCACAAAATATTTAGAGCTAGGGATAAAAAGCTTCAGAAAAGTGACCTTACTTCGCTTCAGGAAAAACACACATACACATATATACACAAAAAACACAAGAAGAAAAAAAAAAAGAAAGAAAAGAAACCCTTCTTTTAGCTGTGTACTTCCAGTCAGCATTTATTACAATTTTCATTTCTCTCAATCAACATTTTTATCTTTATTTTTGGCAGCAGACTTATCCAGCTGGCTGATGTACACAGCTTTACCAATACCTTTACCAAGGCACTTGGTCCTTATCGACCCTTCAGATTCATGCTGATTAGTCTAATACATAAAAAAAATTATTTTGCCTTAACTAGTTTTAAGTGGCAGAACTTGTATCCACGTTAGAAACCTAGGCTTAGACCTTGAAATCCAAGCCAAGGAAGACTTAAACATAAAACAAATCTTCTCATTAGAGGAAATGCCAACCAACCCAATGTTTACCTTTAAGTACTCAAACACACTGAAAGACTCATTTGTCTAATTTTTCCCAAGGAAATATGCTTATATTTGATGCTATAATTTTACAATCAGTTTTTATCAGTTATTTCATTGACACATTCACCTCATACCTTTGGAAAAGGAAGAAGTAATTTATAAAATCAAAATAAAGCAAATATCCTTTTAAAAAGATTCATAAGCACCTTTCCTTTGAGATTTTTTGCTGCATTCCATTTTTCATTAGAGTGAAAGCAGCAACTTTTGTTAACAGATCTTTTTTGGGCCCAGTAGCAACATCGTAAAGTGAAAGTTAAAAACATTAAAGGAAAAAGGTACCCGCAAGCTGTGTTAGGTTATAATTTCTATAGTTGAATAAATTTCACTGCCCACTTTCAGAGCACTAAGACCTTCTGCTAAGTTTTCACTAAGACAGTAAACAGAACAATGGCATCTGGAACTAAAATAATCACCAGAACATGTAAAGGCTCATAGATAGGAAAAAGATTTAGAACCTGAAATACCACAGGAAGTTGCCTATACTAGACATATTGTGGCAACTGAGATTACAGTGCTCAAAAAGATCAGTCATGCCAGGACACAACTGGAGCTGGACATCATCGGCTCCCTGATTTTGAAGATGTAAGTGAATGGCTGGAAGTTTAAGCAACAGAGCACAAGAGGCCTCTAAAATTCTAAATCAGAATACAGGAAAGCACATTCACTGCTGCTACCAGCCAGTCTGATTGTCACTGGCCACTTCTCCCACAGCAAGTCAAATTATTATCTCGGTAAACACCCATAAATTAGGAAAGTTCCAAAAGGTACAGTCAGCTAAGAGTAACAAGGTAGTAAAATAAACTACAGGAAATTTATGTGGTTGCTGTGTCAAGCAAAATAAAGATGAGTAGTCTGATCAAAGCCAATATTATCTTGGGCAACAAACACTTTACTGGGTCCAAAACTACTCCTAGCTGCTGCTCCACTGACTGTATTTAGCACTGAAGTTCAAAAAGCCAAAGAATTTTGTTAATCAGTCAAGAGAACATAATTCTTGATATGCAAAAAAATACTACCTGCTACTATGAAAAGGCAAGAACCCATCTACTCCATTTCTGATTTTGAGGACAAGCTTCTTTGTGAAAGTGGCCCAGCATAGACTAAGTGCTTATATGATGCCATTACCTCAGCATCTAACTAATTTTATAATGCACTTAAGAGTGCATTACGCAGAGTGCATGTAATATTGACACAGTTTACCAGTAGCCACCTGGAATCTCATATTCTTTAGCTTTGGGAATACCTTCTTGAGGAAAAAAACATGAAGGACAGGGAACAGCAGATGAAGTTCAAAATATTTCTCACAATTTCCCAGCATATAAGGCTGCCTTTCCCATAAAGGCTACGTTTCTACATTTGAAGAATGTATAATAGTTCAGCCAGTAAAAATAAAGACAATGATAAAACCAACATATAACACTAAGATGGCCAAATTTAGAAGTCATTCCATCAAGTTGCCTCTATTTAAAGAAAGAGAAGCTTCAAAATTACCTTGGAGTTGATTCTGTAGCTTCTTTTTTTCAGGATCTTCTGACTCTCCTTCCCCATCACTGTCATTCCTGATTTGAACACAAGAAATATATTGTTGAAGTACAAATAAGACAGTTGTCTTTAACGGAAGATTAAAATGTAAGAAGCAGAAATATGACTATAAGGAATGATAGAAACCTTTATTCCAATAAATGTATTTTACAACTCTGCAAGTTTCCATCAGCGTATCCATATTTCTCCATTCTGATTATATTTAATTATTTTTAATTTCCCCTCCTCACCATCTCAACTTCTTATTGGACACCTAGTTCTTCCTCAGTACATCCCTCATACATGCTTGGAGCCACCAGATAAGAAACAGAAGCACTTCTGCTAAGTATCATGGAAGCACCAAAACAGAATAGTCTTAAATACGAGCATTATGCTTTATCTGGAATTGCAAATGAACTTGGTCAGTTGAACCTAGTACCATGAAACTCTACATTCCCTCTCTTGTCAGAGTGAAGGAAACTACAAGTTACAGAAGAAAGAAAAGCCTGCTTGGTGAACAACTGGAAGAAAGGTCATGGAAATAAAGGTAGCCTGAGCGGTATTACTCATATGAACTGTCAGGACAAAGTGTAGCTCAAAAAAAAGGCAAGACAATAAAGGAGGGAGAAACCAGATGAAGTTTCACGAGATAACTGGTTAAATCTAATCTTTCATGACTCCTAGAAAGGCAATTCCACAGCAGATATTGTTGTGCAGTCCTTCCTCCCTCCTTAAGTCTGCAGCATAAAGCAACTCTACCTGTTCAGATCACCCGATTCAGCTTTTCAAGAAACAGATCTAACTAGGAGGGTAAAAGGAGAGAAGACTGTAGCAAGACCTTTGCATGATTCAGTCCACCCTGTGGCACTTGATCCTAAAATGTAGTTTGGCTTTTCCCTATTCAATTGTGAGACTGATCAAACTTGAGCCAGAATAGTCATCAGCCTTAACTGATTTTCTAATTGGTCAGTAATCTCATAAAGAGTAAGTGTCATTGGCCCTGTTGTTAAGTCTGATAAGCATGGGTTAACCTGCCACAGGTTTCACTCTTCAGTGAATATGCTATGCAGATGTAAACAAGCAAAGAAAAACTTATGCTAATAATGCATCTTATTTTTCTTGGCCACTGCATGAGTAGTCACCTCAACTGTTTCAAAAACACTGCAGTTCAAGTGACCTTTGAAAATATGAACTTTAGGATAAGTTGAATTCAGAAAGTATTTTGCTTTACCTTCTCAAAAAACATACCCTTTTCCATCAGTAGGACCACTCTCTTTAACTGGCTTTGGCGCAGATTTTTCTTTCTTTTTCAGATATTCTTTCAGCTTTTCTGCTCTGTCCAGGTACTCCGTACATTTCATTCTAATGCTCTGTTTTGCTTTATCGTTCTGTGCTTCATCTAAAAATTAGAAGCAAAATAACAGTTTGTTAACAGCAACACACATGCGTATCAACGAGAAAACAAGATTAATTTGCGTAATCTTTATGTATCATCAATATACCTTACCCAGGGACTAGGTAACCAAACAGCTCAAATACTTGGTTTTTTTTTGTCTGAATACCATGGTAATAGGAAGGCAGTGATGGCCCAGAATCAATCCAAAAGAAATCAAGTAAAAGCCTGAACACTGCTTTAGTTTCAAACTTGACTGACAAGTATTAAGGACAGCGGTGTTGAATGAAGGCTTCTTCTGTCAGCCATTCAAATTGCCATGCAATGTGTAAACAACTCCTTTTCTAGCCTCCCTCATCAAGAAGCTGCTTTTGGGGAGCAATTTTTATTTAGAAACATACTTTAGTTTTCCTAAGCCCACTTATTTTAAAAGATGTTCATATGACAAAGAAAAGGAAAAAATCTAAAACTTGGGTCTCACTCAACTGTTCTGTTAACCACTGTAACAATATTTTGAACTGATGATCCAAATTTAATGAGGTATATTTGTGCATTCATTTCCAGAAGGACATCAATACTGTTAAAAGTACAGAAATTCATATTCTGGTAGTCTATATGCTATAAATATATAGGAAAAAGATAGTAAGTGATAAACAAATTATCATAAATTGATATGAAGAATACAGTGGGTTTCTTTTTTTTTGATAAGAGCTCTCAAGTCATGCTAGTAACTCTTATCTGCTTAGGTTAGGGGGTTAGCTACATTTAAAAAGGCTGTTTCTTTACTACAAAGTTTGGACATGAGGAAAAAGGCAAAAAAAATGTGAAAAGAACATTCAAATAATAATGAGAATATGGAAAACAAAAAAAGAACATACAAGTCAACCTTATACAGTTTGTTGGCTAAAGTGTCAATAAGCGCTTTGACTAAGAGATTAAGTAGCAAAAGATGACAGCAAGACAACTCTAGAAAGGCAAATAGCAAAAGGATAATGAGCAAAAAATATTTCATGGGTACCAAAAGACTCCCAGTTTTCTACACAAGGGAAGGACAGAAATCCCTGTACTCTTTGCCACAATTCTTCAGGTACAGTCACAACAAATGTGGGACATTTCTGCAGAAGCCCAGGATACAGACAATAAAAATAACAACAACAACAACAAAAACCTAAAAAAAAAAAAAAAAAATAAAAATAAAAAAAAATCCCCAATCTGAAAGAGCTGACCAGAACAAGTAAAATAAACAACCAAGCAATTCAAGCTCTCACAGAAACGGAGAAAACATATAATACCATGAAGGAAGAAACTGCATAAAACATGAGCCCAGCCAAACTGCAGCTAACATGTTTCAGTCGATTACAAAAGTCAAACTTTAAATATTCATGTCAACACATGCGAGCACTCAGTGCAATTTGATTTTAAAAAGTCTAAGTAATCACTTAAAAAATTGCACTTACATTTAACAACATGGAGAAGATACTGCACAGCATGCTGGTACAAGCGGAATGCTTCCTCATAGTTTCCTGCTTTATCTTCTTGTGCTGCCTTGCTAGCAAGGTCTTTTGCTTTCTGTAACACAAACAGATGATTAAACTGATGTAACTGCTGGGCGACAACCCTGCAGGATCAAAGGGACATTCTAAGCTGTTGCTGTGACTGGTTTTTGATGGCTAGCTTTTCTGTTCATGAATCCAAGCCCTGAAAAGCTACAGGCACTTGATTGCCATCGTAATTGCAACACGTGTTATTTTCACCCCAGGTCTTGTCAGTCCCAGCTATGAGCAATGAGATCACTAAACTCTACTGACGACAGAGGCCGTACAGGAAGTAAATGATTACGAGGCGCTGAAACCAGTTCTGTCAGTCTTTACACACTGTCCTGGCAGAGAGCTTCACAGGCTGATTAGCTGTTCAGCTTCTCGAGGATTCAGCTTCCCAACAGCCAAGTAACAAGCTCTAGCCATTGAATGATGAGAAGGGAAAAGGAAATGCCACACTTTTCTGCCATTTTAAAGATTTACATTACTACATAGACGCTTCAATAAGCCCTGGATCTAGCACAACAAAAACAATGATATTGGAAGAGTAGAATTAGGGCACTGTTGGCTAAACATGTGCTATACTCGAAGAATGAACGGTAAAGACTGCAAAACATAACCCCCTGAAAAAGGGGACATCCCTTTAACAGGACATCCCGTAGCTTTGCTCCTTTCAAACATCTATTGAAAAACATCTACATCATGTATTGGATTTTCTTGTTTTCTAAACATAAAGTGATTATTTGAGTATTAGAGTCTCAGTTCTGGCACATGAGCAGGTTCCGTAGCTTGTAACGGTCACGAAGAGCTCTGCTATGAAAACGGAAATAATTTACCAGCAAGCTGCACAGGCCAGGCCATAGATGGCCAGCCCTAGTGCCCACGAGGCACAGAGTTTCAGACTCCGCGCTGATGAATAGCAACCTTCATAAGTGACAATGCCCTAAACAGCTTTCATTCTCCTCCTGCTTGCCCTAGGCCTTGTGATGGCTCCATCAGTTGTGCCCGTACAAGCACTGCCCGGCCACCAGCTTGCAGATCACGAACCAAAACAGCTGCGAAGAGGGAAACTTTCCCACAGCGGCATTTCCACCTTGCCCGGCGGCCGCACGCAGAAGGGAACGGAGCGGCTCACGCAAGGCGCCGGAGGCAGGGCCGCCCTGCGCCCTTCGCTCCCGGGAGCGGCCTCGGCCTCCCCTGCCCCGCCAGCACCGCAGCGCTTCCCCCGCGGCACGGCGCCCCCGGGCCCGCCCCGCTCTACCTGCAGCGTGCCGGAGGAGCTCGCCATGGCGGAGCGCGGGGAGCCGGGACGGGGCACGGCCGGGCGGGCGGCCCCGCGGCCTCCACTGCTCGCAGCTCCGCTCGCGCCCTCCCGCCGCCGCCGGCCGCGCAACCGCCGGCGCTTCCGCACCCAACCGCCACCGGAGACGCGCCCACTTCCGCTTCCGGCACCGAGGCTCGCGCACGGCAGGGACGTCAGAGGCCGGGCGCGCCGCGAGGGGCGGGGCCTCACGGCTGGGGCGCGACCGGGGGCGTGGCCTCTCTGCCGGAGGCGTGGCCTCTCTGCCGGGGGCGTGGCCTCGCTACGGGGGCGGAGCCTCGTTGCCGGGGGCGGGGCCTCGCAGCCGGGGCTCTGCCGCCCGGGAAGGAGAGCGAGGCTGCTGACTCGTGGCAGGTTGCAGGGCGGGTTTGTGCTGCTCTGCGATCTCCCACTGATGGACTTCTGCTCAGTTAGCGCCCTCTTTTACCGCTCCCCGCCCTCCCCATCCCCTCATGTCACTGCAATTGCTCTAGGGTCACAAGCAACATTTCATATATATATATATATATATATTCATATTTGTGTGTGTGTATATATTTAATAAAATGACTGAGTTCTCTGAGCCTTTTGAATATTGTCAGCAGGCTGCCTCTTCTGGACAGACTGGAGAAGGCAACCTCCAGTCATCAATAAAACTAGGACAGTAGTCCTAGGAATACGGGGACTCTATGCTAGTAGCCCTGGAATAAAGCCTTCTCCAAATGCTGTATTTGACAGTTTATTTGGGGAAGTGTGTCCATATCTGTACATGCTGCAGGATTCTTTTGGTGCCGGTTGATTTTTGGGCTTTGTCAGTTACGGTTGTTCTCCTTGCTTGTGGTGCAGATGTGAAAGGGCATCATGTACTAAGTCACCTAGTAAAGCTTTGTTTATCTAGATGGCAAAATGAAGCAGAAAGTTCAATCTGACTTCGTGCTCTAGGCTTTCTCAGTTTCCAAACCCTACCTCTAACCCTAAATTACCACTAGTCTGAGGCACAGTATAAACTTAGGGCCATGAGTGGTTGAAAAAACACAGCACCTTCACCCTGGCCCTTACTCCTCCTGATCTTTCCCTGGATCTTGACCCTGGATCCTTCCCTGCATTTTCCCTGACATGACCCTGCACTTTGACTCTAGACCTGATGTTGGACCCTACCTAGAGCCTGACCCTGAAACTTACCTGGTCCTGACCCTGGAACTTCCTCCTGGAACCTTACTCTGGACTTGACCCTGGACCTTGACCCTGAACCTCACCCTGAACCTGATCCTAGCCCTCATTCCAAACCTTCATCCCAGACCTTACCTGAGGCCTGACCAGGCACCTTGACACTAGCCCTTGCCCCGGCCCTGAATTGCCTGGATCTGATGCCAGACCTCACTCTGCATCATGACCCTGGACCTTATCCTGCATCCCAGCCCAGACCTTGACTCCAGACACATTCCTGGACCCTATCCTGGACTTTGAATCTGGACTCTGACCACAGATATTACCTTGGACTTTGACCATGGACCTTGACCACGGACCCTATCCCAGATGTGACCCCATATCTTAAACCTGGACCTTTCCCTAACCTGACTGTGGACTTTGACCACGGACCTGATGCTGGACCCTACCTGAACCTGACCCTGGACCCTGACCCTTGACCTTGACGCTGCACCTGATCACGAATCTTGACCCCAGACCTGACTCGGAGCCTGACCCTAGACCCTAACCCGGCCATTGACCCCAGACCTTGACTCCATACCTTTACACCGCGGACCTGACCCTGTACCAGAACCCAGACTTACCCTGGACCTTGAGCCCGGACATGACCCTGAACTTTGATCCCAGATCTTTGCCTTGGAACTTGACCCCAGGGCCTGATCTTGGACTTACCCTTGACCTTGGCCCCAGATACTACCCCAGGCCATGAACCCAAACCTTGACCCCAGACCTTACCCTGGACCTGACCCTCAACCTCACGCTGAACCTTATTCTAGACCTTGACACCTGACATGGCCCCCAGACCTTATCCTGGACCTTGACTGCCCAGACCTTGACCCTGGACCTTAACATTGGATGTTAGCCGAGACCCTGACCTCTGACCTTACCCCAAACCTGGACCCTGGACCTTGACCCCCCCATCTTACCCCAGCCCTTGACCTTGACCTAGGTCTTGACCCTGAACCTGAGTCTGAACCTTCACTTCAGATATTAAACACAGACCTGACCCTGAACCTTGCCTGTGGGAACCTACACTGCATCTTACTCTAGACCTTGACACTGGACCTTTACCCCAGACCTGACTCCTGACCTTACCCCAGGTGTTGATCCTGGACCTTGACCCTGCATCTGAGCCCAGACATTTACCCCAAACCTTATTCAGGACCTGACTGAGCACCTTGACTGCTTACTCAGGACCTTACCATGGACCTGGACCCGCTTGACCTTGACCCAGGGCCCTACCGCAGACTTATCCTGAGCCCTGTCTCCAGACCTTATCTTGAACCTTGATCTCACCCAGGTATTGACCCTAGACCTTGCCCTGAACCTTTACCAGACTTTGACCCTGGACCCTGGACCAGACCTTATTCTGGACCTTGACCCCGGACTCTACCTGAACCTGACACCAGACCTTAACATCCCAGACTTGACCCCAGACATTAATTTCAGACCTGAACCAAGACCTGGACTTCCTGGACCTTGAAGCCGTAGAACGGGTGACCCTGTAGTCACATTAGGAGTCATTGGAGATGAAGCAAATGTCTCGGCCTTGCACCTTGTAAAGTGGAGCAGATGTCTCTTGAGCTGGGTGGACTCCTAGTAATTAGTAGAACTGGTGCAAACCAGGCATGTGTTGCAGGACTGACCCAGGCCTGTGTGCCTGGTTGGGGTGCCCAACTTTTCATCCCTTGCCACACTTGCAAGAAGCATACTCCCACCTTTTTACTAGGCAGGCCATCCTGCTCAAACAGCTCCCCTGTGTGCCGTGGATCACAGGCAAGACCTTTGAGCATTCCAAGTGTGGCTCCATATAACTAAAGCATCCTCAAACACCACATCACTTTCTTGACTCGACAACCTCCATGCCCAACAACTACAACTGGTTTATTCACACCTTTCTACTAGGCGTACTAGGCATGCCAATATGCTCAAACAGATCTCCCATCAGCCGTGGATCACAGGCAAGGCCCCTGAACACAACAATCTGGCCTCACCAGCCTGGGGCAGCCCCTCAACATGTGCTTGGTTTGATTTCATTCCCTTCCAACATTTACACCAGGCTTATTATGTACTGAGAATGACAAGCAGTTCAAAAGACACCCCAATGTCCAGGGCACATGGGTCACCTTCTGACCCAGCCATTTCTCTGGGAACAAGAAGTTTGCCACCTCATGCCTATGTCTGTCTTGAAATGTGTCCTGATTGCCTTCTTATCCACACACACACACACACAGACAGATAGAGCCTCCAGGCCTCCGGCTTTAGTAGTAAGGAGTCAAATGCCTCCCCAAAATCCCTAGAAAGGTAGCAAGAGCTCTGCAGACAAGGAAAACTGGCAAGCACTCTGAGCAGCCTGCCTTTCCCTCTAGATGCCAATAGCAAGATGCCTAACGTGGTCCTGGCTCAACATCCTCCAGGCCCAACACTTAGAGCTGGCCTATTCACACCTTACTAACAAGTCCCTTGGTACTAGGCACACTGCACTGCGAAAGTGCCTCAACACCATGTTTATGCCCCTAGGCAGTGTAGAGCAGAACATGCTTTTTATAAGAGTGCACAAGGACTAAATCCTGTATTTTACCTTACTAGCCAGTTTCACCATTTTATACGTAATGTGTGGCCTGTAGGTTTTTTAATGAGTCCATAGCTAATAGTGTTCTTCAGTTGCTGTCAAACATTAACTGTAGGCCTCATAAGGAAGAGACAAAGTTAGGGAAAAAAAAGTTCTGTTAGGCTATTTTACCTTACCAGTATAAAGGCATGAAGGAATTTCCTGCCTGCTGTTTTCTACAGTCTTTTATTTCTGCTTCTTGTTCCTATTTCCCTTGGTCTAGATAAAAAAGCAGATCTCATCTCAGATATTCTTTGTATTGCATGGCAGAGAGGGCCAGGGCAAAGTGTAATTTTTGAATTTTGAATTTTTGAAAGAGCATGGAGTGTGTTCATATTTTCTTAGAACTTGTATTACTCTTAGGTTCTCCACAAAATCCCCAAAGAGGAGGTCACACAGATGTGTCATGATTCATCTGTCTTCACCCATATGGTGTAGTCTGTTAATTCTAGGCTGCTTTCACTTGCTTGGAAATCCTCATGCATCAGCTGCCTTCCACTGTTGTGCTGATGTAAAACTGACTTGTCAGATGGACTACTTCAGATTTGTTTTAGTACCCACGTATGTGATATTCACTGTTGTATTTAGAGCTCTAGGTCCAATTTGAGACATGATATTAGGGATAAGCTGCATCCAGGGTGTATGGATCCATAACTCAACATGGCTGTCAATGTTTTGTGTGGAAATACTGAAGAAAATCCTCTGGTCTAATAAAAGCACATTTTTGCTACCTTATGAAGACATCCAAGTCTGATGCTAGTAGTCCTGTCTCTTCCGAAACTCACAGGCCACTAAGCTCCCTTCTGTTATTTTTCTGCTAGTTAGCCATTCTAAAGTTGTCTGATTGATTGCTGGCTTGTAGCTACAGATGGCATTACTTTCTCATGGCCTTGTCAGTTGTGTTCTAGCTCTGCTCATTCTAGCCTCTAAAATCCAGCTGTTTGTTCAAACCCTATGTGACAGATAGTCATAGTAGCATTCGGAGGATTCTGAAAGCATTAGGTGGCCACCTTCTTGGTGGCCACCTTCTTGGGATGATGAAGTACATGTGCTGTCACTGGAGATGCCTTCCTCCTTTCTCCTCTTGTCTGCTCATTTCAGTGCTCTATGACCAGGTGAGGGTGTTTAAACAAGTTACCATTACAAAGCAGAAGCCGTGGCAATGCCACTCAGAGG